GTTATCAATTGAGGGAAAACTCAAAGTTGTTAAGGTAATCTGCATCTGCCACTCAAAACCAATTTGAATAAATCTCCTCCACCATCAAGTTAAGCCTTATAAAGATTGGATCCAAAGTGATTACTTTCATTATATTCCAGTATCGTGTCTTTATAGGTTATGAAAGCTCACTAGATTAAAGAATCTTAGATGACATTTTCTCAGGAATTGATTTCATGCTAGCATTTGAGCTTAGTGGAGCCCAAGGAATGTCACCCTAATGCTATTTTTACCCAGAGAGGTTCCATTGTTAATGTAGAGGAAGGCCAACCTCAAAGTCTGTGGGTGATCTGTACTGTGTGACATTCCCAGACTTCTGTTGGCCACTAGATATCAGCAGACCATTGTCCTGACTTGAAAGAAAAACAACACACTAGCAAGTTAACATCTGGTCTTCAAGTAAGGAAGTACAACCTATTGGTAATTATCAAGAGAAAGATTTATATACAGTTCACCTAGGGTTTGAATTACAATGATAGTGTTGAGGGAGACAAAAGTTATCTCCCTTCGACTAACCCCTAAAAAAGCTAAAAATAGATATATAGATAGTCATGTGAACTGCCCGGGGGATCGTTAGGCTTGAAAGTCAAACATTCTCTTTGGTTCCTGGCAGTCAAACTAGTAAGACGTACTTATTCAGGCTCGAGACAATCAACATAAGATAAGTACTAAAGATTATTTTTTTTCAGATATCAAATCTCTTGCAAAAACACATACACACCTTGTATGAACATTTCAGACATAAATATATATAAATATTCAATTGCTGTTATATGAAGACTTATGTGGTTATTTTAAACTTTTTTTATGTGTTTATGTTGTTTTGCTATTCGCTTTGTTAATGAATCCAATAACACATTTTCTTGCACAACAATAGCTTCTTTGAAATCCAAATCTTAACTGAAATAGGACCTCTGCTTATTCCAACCAAATTTGCTCCAGTCAGAGATTAGTTGGGAAACACTCTGAGAATACAAACAGATGGTAACGGTAATATTAGCTGTTTCTTTACAAGGAAATATTTGCCATTCATTGGCCAAGCAGCAAATGCTACTTTTCGCTGAAATTCATATAATCTTTCTTTTAAAAGATTTTCTCAGGAAAATGGGTTTATCAGGTCCAGTAGCTGTTACTGCTCTTTCAAGCACTGATGGGGACTTCCTTCCTAACCTTTTGTTTGAAGTTGTGTGGAATGATAACATCTTGATTATGTTATTATTTTCTCATTGAATTACATGTGATATTTATTTTAGTTGTTGCTGTCGTTGAAAGTCCTCAAGTGATGGGATTTCTGGTATTTAGTACAGTTCTTTGTGTATCATTTTGTTGAGTAAGTCCAGAAGTTTTGAAGAAGAATGGCCCTTGCTAATGCCTTCAGTTTTCATTCACTCAAAGACATTTTTAAATATTGATCCAAGAAAGCAGTTGTATACAGCTGACAGTTTAGACATATCTGAACGAATTTGGCACCATGTATGATAATGTCTTGATTTGATGAGACTATTTAAGAACTTGTTCAGCTGAAGGTTCGTACAAAAGGAAACCTTTTCTGGGACCTAACAGAAAGCTGGCTGACTTGTGTTTAATCTTGGCCCTTGTCATATGTTCATAATATTCCCTCACCTTTTGCATAACCTTTATGCCATCATACTAGAAATAAAAAGGTTATTTGAATCAGAATATAGTGTTGAAATCTCTAGGATACATAAGAAAACAAGGCTTGTAAAATTTGACACTGACAGGACCTATTGTAGGCAAAGGGTAAACAGCTAGTAACATACCTAATATGCTTGTGCAGCAAAACAGGGAGTGGGAGTAAAAAGACAAATCTTACAAAGAACTACAAAGAATAGGATGTTGTGGAGAGCCATGATCATTCATATCTTGAAAGGACACAGCACAAAGAAGAAAACTAAATACTTCACATCATCTGGATGGTACATGCTGAGGTTTAGTCTGAGGCTTGTTTTTAGTTAGGACCTTCATATAGCATGTTGCAATGTGACCTGGCTGCTGGTAGATCCAAGTGTAATGTCATTGACCTTCAGTCACAACCATTAGCCATTTACTTTGAAGTTCTTGACCTATCAGACCTTGGTATTATTCATTGTCCAGGAAGATATTTTAAGTTATGAAGCATTTGGCCCTGACCTGAAGAGCTGTCAGTGCGCAGTGGTGGATCTACTACAAAACTAATGAAACTTAAGCTTCAGGTCCCCTAATCCCAGAGGGGCCCATGAAGCAACTTCTTTTAATGAGTGAATTTTTCAATAAAATCAATGTTAAAATAAGTCCATTTTAGTGATAGAATCATAAGTCAATGGGTTGAAGTAGATAATTTTGACTATAGAATAAACTCTAATATCCATTCCATGTGGTCTCAAAATTCCTCTGTTATTGGCCAAATTTCAAAATTTTCTTGGGAGCTTGAAGCACCAGGACCTTCAGCTGTATAGGCTCATTGCTCACCAGAATCTATTCATAACCTACATTTTGGCTGTTAGATCCTCAAATCTATTGTTGCTGTTTACACAGAGGGCCTCCATATCTGTTGAAGATTCAGGAACTTAAAAATGTCAGTGTCTCCTATATTTTTTCTTTAGTGATATTGATTCTATTTTTTTTAATCATTTTTCCCCAAGCAAGGCAGTAAAGCTACCGAGATGCAAGGAGTCTGAGAGAATATGAGAAAAAGAAAACATTATTAAGGAGAGAGAAAATAAAAGAACAGGAATTAAGACGCCAAATAACGATTGACATTGCATTTAAATTTTTAAATGTCAAAGTTGACTGGAAAGCAAAAAACAGAAGAGAGTTCCAAAAGTGAGAAGTGCGAGAGAAGAAACTATTAGCATAGAGTTTATGATTACATCTAGCCATTTCAACTATAAAATGATGAGATCTTGCCACTAATCGAGTACTGAACTCATAATTCATAAAGTCTATGTACTAAAGAGAAATGATGTAGGAAAATTACCATGAAAATATTTATAGGAAAAGCACGGGGAAGCTACAATGAAAAGGCAATGTTATTATTGTGAGACCGGAAACTACCTACACAATAGACTCTTCCAGGCCTATATTAAGTAGGCGACATAGCACTCTAGAGAGAGACACAGACCATGACACAGAGAGACAGTGAGAGCCGCGTACGACTACCAGTATTGGACACTAACATATAGTAAGCTCTGCTTACACTATCTCTGTAACCTGTTGTTAATATATCTTTCTTACATCTAATCCGTGTTCCGTGTTTTACTTCTGTGGTCCCAACTTTGGCCCCACATCAGTTATGCTGATAGGAAAGTGACTGAAGCCAAGATACCAGCTCAGGACTAATAACATTGCAGATTCTTTTTCTTATTTTATCAAGAATCTCTAAATATATAGCAGAAGCACCAATCAGATGTGGAAGCAATATTAAATGCATGGGCAAATTGTAGATTTATAAATGTGTAAGATAGATTCTGGTGAGAAAAATTGACACAGTGGACCAACTTTCCTAGCAGTAGACCGAGCAATTGATTCAATATAATCTTTTCATTTCATGTCACTTTTTTGATATTAATATTCAATGACACTAGGAAAATTGTTCTCAGGTTAATTGTACTTATTATTTCTGTCATGGTGAGCTGATCATTTTATTTTGATGCAAGTTGGATATAATAATCTGATAGGTTTTTTATTCATCTATTGTGACTGGCTGTTCATTTTTTTTTGGTTTCTAGTATCATGGTGGCTTGGGGTAAAAATGATTAAAGAGAAAAATCACTACTGAGGGCAGAAATTGTGAAATACAGGTAAGAATAACACAAAATATAGTTGCTATTAAGTAGAAATTTCCAGAGTCAAGATAACATCAACCATAATATGAACTATCTTTGCCAGGTGAGTTCACAATTATTTTAAGATGGCTACATTCATAGCTGAAAATTTTAAATTCTATTTTTTTATCATGCCTCATACAGTGTGAATAGATTTTAAAAGGTTTCTATTTCTAGTATTTCTGAAGTATGTAAAAATGTTTTGAAAGAAGTTTTAGCAATAAGAATGGAAAATATCTTAAAAGATTGAGAGGATTAATCTATTTCATTTAATGTTGGAAACAATTCCCAAGTGAATTTCAGAGTGATCATATGATGAAAGTTGATATATCAAATAAAAAAAAGGTTACCTTATTACAGTGAGCTCCTGCCTATTTGTGTTTCAGCATTCACGGCTTCACACATTCATGGATTTTTATTTGGAATATGTACTTGTTAGTCACAGAAACCCCAAATATTTGTATGTTTTTCTAAAAAACATATGTAGAAATTATTTGCTGAGAACTCCCTTGATTCGTGTATTTTTTGATAGAACATATTTTAATACTTCAAATGTTATTATAATGGACACTGCTTATTTGAAATAGATGCCCCCCAACAATTTTTATTTATTAAATAGTGTGTATTATGTCTAGCAGTCTGTGTATTCAAAAAAACTTTTCCTCTGGCAGGGATTGAAAATGTGTTTCCCTTTTTAGGAGAAACTACTGTTTGAACCAGTATGCTTTATTGCATAAGGAACTTCACAGTAAGCAAGACTCTTTTTATACAATTTAAGGAAAGTGCATTGCCTTCACTCAGAATTCACTATTTTCTCAAGAGCCATATCTGTTTAGTTTCACATCTGAAATGTAAGCAAAGTAATTTATAAAGAATGAATGGATTTATTTTTAAGCCAACATATTATTACTTCAAACCTTCTTATAAGAAGTGTCCACTATAATAACATTTGAAATAATATATATATATATATATATATATATATATATATATATATATATATATATATATTACGCAAAAAACTGCAGGTAGGTGTTGTAACCTGTCAGTCCAGAAGTACCTTCATATATAGAGGTCTTCTGTTAGTATAAGTAATGAGATTGTATCCAGAGCTGGTTTGCAAGGTAAATTGTGTAGCTTGCAACACCTGGTATTCACCAGCAGTCACCTATCTGAGTACTGACTTGGGTCAATGTTTCTTAACTTCAGTGATCAGATGAGAACTGGTGTGTCAATGTTGTGTGTGTGTGTGTACATATATATATATATATTAAAGGAAGGAAGAGAGTTACAATGTAGATGCATATTCAATTTATTCCAAGTACTTTTGACATTAGCACAAAGTCATCTTCAGGGTCTTGTTTTATCTAAATCAAAATTGTTGTGTTCATCTGAAAATTAAATTTTTTACTTGTGAAGTGAAAAATGCTAACTTATGTACTATACAATTTTTAAATTTTATGATCTAAGCATACATGTACAGTAATGTCAAGGGACGTAACTAAGTTATTGAGATGACTATTTTTAAAAAAAAAACTTTTTTAAGCTATTAGTTAAAAGCTAAATATTTTAAAACTCCACTGTTAACATTTTAAAACATTTGTGCAGTATTCATAATTAACTTTATTAAGGGTTGGTTTAAATTTTTTTATAGATACCTTGAAGAATTTTTAGTTTATGTCTATTATTTTCATAAAAAAGTTTAGATGTATTTCCAACAAGGATTTTTCTACATTATTTATATTATTCGGACTATTGTCCTCATCTTTGTCGCCATATTTATTACAACATTTTGGCCGTTGTATGCTCTGGCATTCTTCAGGTGGTTGAAATGTCGAACTTAACCCTTTATTTCGCTCACTGAGGTAGACTGTTCTAGTTCCACATGCCATGTTTAATGGATGTCAGTTATCTCCTGTTAAATTCACTAGTCTTTTCCTATATAAGTCTTTATCTATTTATATGTATACATTATAATGTCCTTACACAGCTTCATTTTTTGAGAACTTCAGTTCCATACGATTCTATATGAAATCAAGGCATTACATTTTTAGATTTATTCTCAATATAATTCATTTTCAGCAGAACTATTGTCATTATGTAGACAAATTGTGATGCTGCTCTCAGGTTTTATAAATACATTTTGTCTGAAGTTTTTAGATGTGGAATTATTATCCATTGATTTATTTCAATTAGTATCTTCATCTATAGCCACATTTCACTCAGTTCACTATTTGGAATGAAACCATTTTTATTCAGTCCACAGGAGTAGATTCTGCTGTCAGTGCTTGAGGAAATCTAATATCAATTAATTCTTCCTAGTTTGGATGTTATGATCCTTTTCATCAAGGTTTGCACAAATGAAGTTCTCTTTGTGGTTTGGAACAACCTGAAATCAGATCTTTCAGGAAAAGCTCTGGCCTTCCAGTAGATAACTTGATGGGAGTTTTGACATTCTGTGTATCACCAACATATTTCCAATTGTGCTCAGTCATATCTGTCGGAAGAAGACTTGACTATAAGCATGGAATAATTTAAGGAAATAGCTTCAAGAACAACACTGTTTAGTGGTCGTCTTACATATCTCAGCTATGTGGCGGAAATATGTAGTTGGCAAGTCCATATTTTGGCTTCACCATAAAGAAGTACAAGTACTACATGTTATACTGATGGAATTTAAAAGATTGTGTGTTGGTGTCTATTTTAGATGAGTAGATTTTCATTTTACAATTAAAGAACCAGCATACAAAAATTTGGGTTTATATCATGGACTGTTTATTCTCTTTTTTTATATATAAACTGTTGTAAAACAAAGTTTACCATGTCTCTTCAGTATGTCTGTTTTCTTTTTGGTCCAGAAGTGAGGGTAAGTAAGTAAAATCATCATTATAATGGCTGAGCTTATCAGCCTTGAGCAGAGTTGGAACAACCAAAGAAAAGCTTGTACTTACTTTATCATGGTCATGGTATGACCATTTTCTTTTTCTTGGTCTGGAAGTTAGAGTAAGTAAAGATAAGCATTATTATAAATGTCAAGTTCAAGACAACCTGTTGCAGAGTTGGGACAACCAAAGAAAACCTTAGTTTACTTCATAGGTGGGGTTTTCAAAGATATATACGAACACCATGCATTGGAAAGGGAGAAAAAAATAGTCATATACTATGTTGTAAATTAGATCTCTTTCTGATTCACACTACAAGTCAGCCAGATGTGAGCACTAACAAAACCCCAAATAAAAAGTTGACCTCTGCACAGGAGCTCTGAATGCCCCATCTGGCCCACAAGACAAATCTCAAAAATCTAAAATACAAGATAAAAGAAGTCAATTATGAGTGTTGCTGCCAAAGAAAAAAGATGACACCAGGAGCTATTAGATTTACTTTTAAGAAAGCCACTCATAAAGGACTGGAAAAGAAGCAAGGAAAACAGGCCAATTGTTGGTATCCAGCAGGCTCTCAATGTCACCATCATATCCACTCGAGATCCACCCTCCAAATACCTACACCATGCCTACATAGACATTCCATTCACATCCTCTGTCATGGCAAAGTCAGATTCGTGATAAACAGTAAACTTCACTAAGCCACTCCAGGCCTCTCTCAATGTCAACCAACCTGACAGACACATCATCTCCAGGTCTTACTAACTTTACCCTTCCTTCAAAGCCACCTCCCTCACCTACATTTTGTTCATATCTGGTAAGTACAAAAGAATTTTATATTTACAATTCTTGTCTTCTTTTCCTTTCACCTCACCAGTGGTACTGTTGTTTTGTTTGTTCTTCCATGCTACCATATACATGTTTATAATATGCTTGCCTATGTGAACACAATAAGACCTTTAATATTCACAACAGAAGTAGAATATGACACTTCAGAGATGTGCTAATAACTTGTATGGAGTGTGACATCCAAATATCTTAAGTTAGTATTGACTAGATAATACCTGGAGTTTATGACTTCATTTCCTGCCATCTATCCCTCTCCAATAGAAAACTGTATAACTGCCATGTTGACTTGATAGCAAAATATGATGGCATGAATTAGCGTGGTGTAACCATAAGTTCTATTCTAATAATTTCTTTTCTTGCACTTCTTGCTTGCAAAACTCACTTCCAGTTTCTTGCTTCCTGGCACCTACCATCTTTAAAAATTTAAATGTAATATCAATCACAATCTTCTGTCTTCTTGAATCCTGTTCTTTTATTGTCCTTTCTCTTCATTATAGTCTTCTAATTCTTTTCCACTCCCAGTAACTCCTTGCATCTTAGCAGCATTATCACATTGCTTGAGGTCAAATAATTAAGAAAAAAAAATACTAGAATATCAACAAAGACTTTCTCTTCTCTTTGTATAGGAAATTATCTTCCAAGCTATGATTCCAATGAAATTATAAATCTGATAGAGGAACAAAATATCGGCCAACAAAGTAAAGACCCCAATATTGAATCAGTTTCAACTTTATCAGGAGTACAACAAACAGAAATGAGAGCCCTAATCTATTTAATTTCTTCCTACACTATATTCAGCACATGTACAAGCACAGATGTGAAGAGATGGGCACTTATCATTTAAGCGTCTTATGCCATATCACAAATGAAATACTAATAGAAAACAGTACTCTGTCTTTCCCTTCTGATGATGAGAGGAGGGGCATATGCTTCTGATGTGAGTATTTAGAGTAAATAAATGTCTAATAAGATACATATTTGTTATGCATTTGATTTTCAGTAATGCTCAGATTTGCATGAATTACCTTTGGTTCTACAGATTACTGAAAAGTTCCATTGAATAAACAGAAGATTTAACAATGTATCTTAGGAATTCAGTTGGTTCAAATATATTGACAATGTCATTATTTGCATCCAGACTAATGTCCTCATCATTGTTCTGATTATCATGTTTCAGCCATTGTATCTTCTAGCCTTCGTCAGGTGCTCGTCAATCCAGGTAACCTTTAGGGAATTTTGAACTGAATACTTGACTGAACCAATAGTGGTAGATTACCCAAGGATATATTTCATTTTGTCCATTTTTTTAGTACTACTCAGTTACTGCAAGCCTCAGTGTACTGAATGATTTACTAAGCAGGCCCAGGGTTTTAACTCACAATTATTATGTTGCCAAATTCATGAACACTTTAATCTAGAGGAAAAAGTGAGAAATAACTGAGCACTAATAAATAAGAACAAGAAGTGATATCCCTTCACATGGATGGTGGAATGAAAACAATCTACTCCTATAGATTAAATTAAATTTCCCAAAGCATACCCAAATCAGCAAGTTCATCACTAATGACAGCCTTATGGGTAATGTCGGTGTTGGCTTTATAGTCAGTCAGTGGTTCAAAAATGGCTGCTGTGAAAATGATGTGGGTTTTTTTTGTATTGATTAAAAAACATATTTTATGACTCTTACATTATTCAGACTATTGTCCTCATCTTTATTGCCATATTCACAATGTTTTGACTGTTGTAAATTCAAATTCTATCCTGTGAATATCAAATATTTCAATCTCTCTTTTCTCATTTGTGCCCTAGAAATTTTAACAATCTCTTTCTGATGTTAAGTATAAGTGTCCTTCTTGTTTCCATTTTCTCTAAAACTTTGTTGTTTTGTATATGTTCAGCTCATGGTATTCTCAGCATCTTTCTGTAGAACTATATTTGTGTTGCTACAAGTTGTCTTCTTCGTATGTGATGAGATTGTCCAGCATTCACTGCCATATAGGAGGAGCAATATTACATAACAGTTAAATATGCTTTTCTTTGTTTCTAATGAGATTTTCCTGTTTCTTACTACATTGCTTAACTTTTAGAAGGCATTTTTCACTATCGCAATGTATATTTGGATTTTGGTATCCCATTTCTGATCCTCTGTTAAAACACTATGGTATGTTGAACCAGGTGTCCAATTTCAGTTTGCATCTCACAGTCTCCATCTCAGCTGCCAAGGCTGTAGGCCACAATGATTGAAACATTGTAATAATAACAACAAAGATGAAGACAGTAGTTTAAATTTAAATAATGTAAATAAACAATTAATAGTAAGTGTGTTGGAATCTGTCTACCCAGGTTTTATTGTTATCTGAGTGTTGGGATTTTAAACATTTAACAACACATCTTTTAAATGAGACATAAAATGGTTATCTTCTGAAGGAAAAGTAAAAATAGAATATCAGCTGAAATAACATTTATATATTCTTTTCAGAAATATACAATAACAATAAAATGTTCA